GGATGGAGGGGGTTCTATTGCATAGCGATGCCGAGGCAGGGTTGATAAGATGAACCCCGCCGAGAGTTTAATGTCTGTCATGACGGGTGGGCGACGAAAGATACCTACGTTTCTATTTACTTCAAGATACCACCAAAAAGTTCAAGTTAAATGTGCCCGATACAGTTTGCCAGGTGATGTTATCGTTACTGCTGAAAGTCAGAAAGCGGTTTGCAAATGTCAGACGGGCATTTTAACCTCCGTGGCCCTGATGGACAAGCATGAGTACGGTAGTGAAGGTAACACGATGTGAAGACCTTTACGGTGTAAGCAGATCACATTGCCAGCAACAGCCGATAGGTCGCATTCAAACTTATTTTTGTCCTGTGATCTTCGCAAGTAAGGTAGGCACTGACGGATCGCGGCACGACTGCCTTCACCACCCCCTGCACGGCACAAACCCGGCAGCACGCGGCCCCACGACCCCTCGCTCCCGACTGGTCCTCCGGCCCGGCACTTGGGTTCTCTCGCTCCCCCAATGCCCGACAATCACGCGAAGTTCACCCACCCAGTCCCCGGCCCCATCTCCCGCTTCCCCCGTAAACTTTGCCTCCCGACTTGCCGGCTCCAGCTCGCCGGGTGTGGCATTTACACCTAAATGTGGAAGTATTGCCAGCCCACGTGCTGTTTCCCACCTGACGGACTTACCTTATCTTGAATTTATACCCATGTCGTGAGTTTTCTTTGGTGACGTGGGGTGCGTTTATTCAGTTGGACAGGCTGAATGTCGGCTTATCGCCAGGCGTTGGCTTCAATACGATTGGCGGGGGGAGTATAGACCTGCCAAGGGCGAAATCTATCTGCGCCCTATGGTTGAATTTGGGCGTCGGGCGTGATGCGTCACAGACGCCATCTTGATCAAAGGGAAGAGAAGGAAATCATATTCCTGGCGTGTTGGTATCGTAAGCCCAGGCAACTGCATGGGCAATGGCGTCGGGCAAGGCTTCCGTTGGTCTCGCGATGGGTGTCAGCCGGTTGCATGATTGGCGGCCTGGGAGGCGGCGATCTATCTGCGTTGTTTAACACCGAGTCAAGTGAAGGGTCAAAGGGGTCGGTGAAGCAGCGTTGGCGGTGAAAAGTATAAAAGGGAGGCATTGTCGCCGAATTTATGCTTGATATCTTCCCACACTTATATCCTCATACACACTACCTAAGAAATCGCCGTCTATAAAGCCAAACCTCATTACCGCGAGCTCAACTTTACTCTGATCACTTCCAACGCAATGGCTTCACGATACCCAATGCCCAACACCTACACCAAACCCACCAAACAAAAGAGCGACTCCTCGTCTTCTTCACTTTCTGCCGCTGTCAAGTCCATGTTCTCGGCTCCTACGTCGTATCCCTCCACCCCGTACTCAACGTCAAAGTATCCTCTCCCGACAGCGTATACGCCGAGAGATGGGACAAACAACAAGGGATCTGTTGGGGAGCAGCAGATAGGCATGAGTTCAAGGGTTTCTGTTGAGTCGAGGTATACTATTGATGAGATCAAGGAGGAGCAACTGCGTGGACTGGGGCGGTAGAGAAAAGAGATAGTTGGCGACGAGGGGGGCTGTTGATTTAGTGGGATCATCGTTGTGTTGCTGAGAGGAGAGTTTACGGTGGGCTGTTGAAGGGGTAGAGAGCCTGTTTGTTTGTATTATCCAATGTGCCGAGTTGATTAAGTTGAATTGGATCCTATGGGTGCTTGTATCAAGTCTGGACAGACCCATGAGATGTGTCACGTCGTGTGGCATGATATCAGCCACAGGCCGATGAGCGGTACAACGAGCCCCCCGTGTGCTGACACGCTTTCACGATGATGTTTCTTCCGAGCTTCAGCCATCCTACATATCCAGCTGCCTGAAGTATGCGTCGTCATCAATACCCAATGGACGAGGAGACATCCAAGTGTTCGCCTCGAGGGGTGGTTGGCATGGTTATTCCTGATCAGGACATTTTCATCTTGTCTAGGGCATGCCTAACAACCCCCTCCAACTAACCTCGTGTAAATAGAAAATTAAATGACTGACATTATGAATAAGCAAGCCTTATTTCATCTTAGCGCAGGTAGTAACTTTTGATGCCGTCGAAATCTACTATTCGATGCTTATGTTCAAGGCGCAACTCGTCTTAGTTCTCCGTTGTATACCGGCCATCGCGGTCGAGTGTGATATAATAGTCTAGTAGAGAGTGCAATGTTCATCATGTCTCATTACAACTACGTCGCTAACACTTCTAGCCAACCCTCTAGCCTAATACACCGTCAACTCAGGTGACCCCTCCGCCCTGGGGAACGAAAACTTTGTCTCGACAAAAATCTTCTGGATCCCGTCTTCGTGCTTGTCAAACTTGTAATACACTTTGTCCAAGTCGTCAAGACGGATGCGGTGCGAGAGCATCTGGTACACATCAATCTTGCCCTCTTGGATCTTCTTCAGCAGATCCTCCCAATACAAGTGAACAGGCGCCTGCCCGTTACCGATAAGCCGCACCCCGCGCTCCATCAGCGACCCAATGTTGAAATGGTTCGTGTACCCGACATACACGCCCGTGATGCCCGCCCGCCCAAAGTTGCGCACGCCCTCAATCATTTCGTTGACAATCTCGCTCGTGTCCGTCTCCGCGCCGAGCGCAATCTCGACCGTGTGAAGCCAGCCCTTGGGGTACTCCCCTGCCGCACACTCGAGCGCGGCGTCCGGCCCACGTCCGCCGCAGAGTTCTTTCAGTCGCGAGACGACCGTCTCCTTGTTCGTCACGCCGTGCGAGAGCGTCTTGTAGTCGATGAGCGCGAGCTTGTCCGCGTGCGCGGCGGGCCACTTGGACTTGATGTAGGAGAGCCGCGGCTCCGTGTCGACGAAGATGACCTTGGAGGCGCCCTCGTCGAGGGCGAAGGCGCCTGCCATTTGGCCGATGGGGCCCGCGCCCCAAATGGCGACTTGGTCGTTTGGGTAGACGGCCGTGTCCTTCACGCAGTTGTACGACGTGGCGAGGACGTCGGAGAGGTAGAGGGCCTTTTCGTCGGGTACGTTGTCTGGGATGGCGAGGAGGTTGACGTCGCCGAGGGGCACGCGGACGTACTCTGCCTGGCCGCCGGCAAAACCGCCTGTAAAGTGGGAGTAGCCGAACATGCCGGCCGTTTGGGAGCCATACATCGACTTCTCCATTGTGTTGGAGTTTGTCCGCTCGCACTGGGAGGAGAGCTTTTGCTTGCAGTAGAAGCACTGGATGTTTTTCAGCTTCTTGCTAACAGTCATAAAAGGACGGGAAACGTACACTTCCGCACGCGATTTGGAACGAGGCGACGTAGCGCTTGCCGACCTGTGCTTTGGTGACGGAGGATCCGACTTGGTCGACGACACCGCAGAACTCGTGACCGAGGATGTCGCCCTTATTCATCTGGACGACGGAGCCGTGGAGGAGATGGAGGTCGCTGCCGCAGAGCGTGCTGCCGGTGACCTTGAGGATGACATCGGTAGCCTCGAGAATCTTTGGCTTTGGAACGGTGACTGGGCGGTGAGATTAGGATTTATCGTTGCAAGGGGTTGTTGTTCATCACTCACCAACTTCAACCTTGTTCTTGCCTTGCCAGACGAGTGCCTTCATGAGCTCGCCGTCGTCGCCTTTGCTTCCGCTGTATTCGGTTACATCTTGGGCGGTGATGGCGTCGTCTTGGTGGCCAATGGCCTTTTCGGCTGCGTATGCTGCTTGTGAAGCCATTTTATGTGTGATTGCTGATATGAATTCTTGGGGTTGGAGAGAAGGCCAGAAGGAGTCTACGAGATTTGTTGACAGTCACTTGTCAAGTCATCGGTATCACTGGTCCTTATAGAGATTGCGAAGAGAACACAATCATCACACAACTAAGCAGCCAACGACTCATCCAGGTCCAGACGCCTCGAATGAACCAGTCGAACGAGCGCGATGCGACACTGGGCGGGCAAAAGACTGAAGTTCATGACGGCGCGGCGGCGTCATTTTCGACGGAGACGCGACGTCATGGATCCCAGCGCCTCCAGAGAGACACGGCATGGAGCAGCGGAGCTTTACTTCCTAGAGCCAATGAGAGGGGCGTTTCGGCTCGAAGCGGATATGCATGCACACATGGTACGCCTTTCTGGACCGTTGGCGTGGGTTCATATGAAGATGAAATAAGAAGCAGGCAAGGGTGACACGAGGCTGAAAAAAGACATGCTTATCCGAAAGAGGATGGCCGTGGAGGGTTGGAAACGGGACGGCATTTGCAAGTTTTGCGATTGCCTGGGGAAAATTCGATGTTGCCCCCCTTCGTTGCACCCCGGCTCACGACTGGAGACTCGCCGTGTTTCATGGTTCGTCAGCTTCGCGTCCGGACTTATGAAGAATGAGACTGGGAAGTTTGGTACTGAAGGTCGGTTAGGAGAATGGACGACGTCAGGTGCGATTGTGAGAGTGCTTGTCAGGCTTGAGTAAGCTCGGCAGTGAGTCGAAAGAAGGTCTGGGTTCCTATTTGGGTGGATATAGGCGGGGTCCAATTTTGGCGTGATGTAAGTCTTTCAAGTGAGAGCCAAGCTCATCTGATTTGAAGAGTCTTTCGTGTGTTCATCGCATGTGTGGAGGATGGCTGAGGAGATAGTGATCGGGTGAGATGAATTTCACTTTGCATGGGACGAAGTGAATGGGAATAGAGTGTCTTTATTTCGAACTCAAGGTCATCAAGGTTCTCTCTTGCAGTAACTTCAGAATGAGAGAAAACACCGGCCTTGACTCCTGAACCTAACGTAGCGCGTATGAGAGGATCTATGAGATTGAGGTGGGGTGAAGGTTGAACTAAGACAGACGTCACCACTCGGAGATCGGCTAGCTCATCTCATTCTGATGTGACGAGAACACCCAGATGGCGCCAGCTGGGATCAAGATTGCATGTGGTAAGCAAGAATACGATTAGACAAGGGCTCTTGTTCTCTTAGGTAAGATGAGTTGACACGTGAGTTGAGTAGCAGAAATAAAGACGCAACGGCGGCACAAGGATGGAGGTCCGCAACCCGCTCCCGTCGAGCCGGGAATGAGGGGAAAGTGGAGTCGAATTGGGGCCTTCAACTCACATAACTTGGGGTAAAGGTGCGGATGGAGGACCAGACGGAGGAACTCGTTGCTCGGCCGCATTGAATCCCACATTAGCATCAGGAACCCGCGACTCAATATGGCAATCCGGAGCATGCTGCGTCCGCAAAGGACAACACTGTCGTTGGATCTGCCAATCTGGCCACAAGCAAGTCTGTTTATATGAGGAGGGCCCGGGCAAAGTCATTTGTAAGATGAGGGAAGAAAAGACAGTCTGCATGTCGTTCAAGTTCCTGTGTCAGTCTCTCATCGCATTCTCAATCGCTCGTCACGATACATTATCACAAGAAAACAATTCACAAAAGGCAGTAACACAACCACCACAATGAAGTCCGCATCCCTCCCCCTCACCGCCACGCTCCTCGCGACAGCCGCCTCGGCCTTCCAAATCGGCAAACCGCCCATGCCCCAAGCAAAAACCACAATGGCAGACAACTTCCCCTGGCGCGACCCCTTCACCTCGGCAACAACGGACGCCTACACCCCAGCCTGCTCCTCGTCAAAGACCTTTGCCGCGACGCAGTACACCCTCCACGACCTCTTTGACAAGCCGCCGACGGGCCTCTTCCCCTGGGGCGACGGTCTCAAGACCTTTTTCTCGGGCCGCGAGTACCCCGGCGGCTGGGCCGGTCTCGACCGCCACATGTACGACCGCAACGTGCTCATGATGGAGTACGCTGATGTTCCGTTGCGCGTGCGCGAGTGGATTGAGGATGAGGAGCGGGCTGACGGCGCGGGCAAAGGGTTGTTTGCTGTGTTTGAGAAGCCTGCTGGGGAAGAGGACAAGGTTACGGAGCGGGTTGTTGTTCCAGGCGAGGCTGACGAGGTTGATCGTGGACTTGATGAGGGGAGGGTTGCTATTTTTGCGCCGGGGGCGTTGTATCCTGTTCTTCCTCTGTTTGTCGCCGATGGTAGTGAATGTGAAGGTGAGTCTGGCATCCGTCTCGTTGCCTCTCGATTCGTTCAGCGTCTTTTTAAGAGCAACTGGCTGACATCATCGCAGCGACGCTTGCCGACTTGAGTAGTTACAAGGCCGTACCCAAGGATGCCGCCGTCGTGGCGTGGCCCGTTAGCCATACCCGTCCCGATACTGCCAATGACAAGAGGGACATTGAGTTCACCATCAAGGCTCAGGTTCTCAAGGTGAAGGAGATTGCATCAAAGGCCGAGGCTGATGCAGAGGAGTCCAAGGTGGCTAATGAGAAGACAAAGTCGTCTGATGCGGCCAAGGATGAGTTGTAAGAGGGACGTTCTGAGGCGCAAGCGAAGCTGTGAATTGCATGTATGAGGAGATTCCTACCGCGGTAATTTTTATTGATTAGTATTTCCTGATGACATCTTGATTTTGAGTTTGATCAAGTGCTGATTTTGAGACTGCCTTTGTTCGTAAAGACAAGTCCTAGCGGCGCATTGCCCGTGTGTTGTGATTGTCAATCAACAACAAGAGACTCACGACTGTACGTAAAGCTTGATCTTTCAAGCTGACAAGCTCCACAATGCTGGCGAAGCTGGTCCGTGTGTGACCGCCTCTGTCAGCGATCTGCGCTGAGAATGGGGACAGGAGGGCATTATTAATCCAGATCCTTGGCGTTTTCTCCGTGGAACTCCACGGAGCGCCGTGGCCGCCACGGTGGCTGGGGAGCTCCACGGAATTCCACGGATCTCACACCGACGCTGACCGAGGCTCACCGAGAGGTGGACCACTTACACGCCTGTCTGTGGTCTCGTCTCGGTCTCGCGGTGCAACCGCGCGGCAATTAGTAGTGCTCTGCCCAGATGAGTTTTGAGGTGAAATTTTCGGAACCTTGCGAATTAATGATTATTAGGCAGAGTCGAGTTTGGACTTGAACATGAGCACTTGGCAGGAGCGTAAGTGGGAATCCAAAGCGTTTTAGGAGAGCGGTGTTGTTGAATTCCGAAGGAGACGGTCGAGTCATCTCTGCATTCTCGAAAATGAAGAATTAAAAGAGGGGATCCACTCAACTTTGTAGGACCCCTAGCAGCGAGATTTGCACACTGTTCCACGAGGTTGAAGTCTCCCGGCGTCTACTACAAGATCTGCCGGGGAACCCGGTGCCCCATGGACGTCTCCTCCGTGGAGTGCCCCGTACGCTAGCTGGGCCGTTCAACCACCGCCACGGCAGCAGCCGCGATACTACCACATTGCGCCATCGGTTCTGCACTCGACTCCGCGGGCCTCATGTCGAGACTATAGCGTCGTCCGGGCTTGGTCCCGTGGAAACTCGAGATGCCTTTAAAAGTGAGCTCCCCAAACACTTGCTTCCAATTTTCCAACAGTATCAGCATCAACGTCATCTCTTGCTTCATCATAGCATATCTACAGTCTTCTCACACTCTTACCCACACCTCTATCAACTTCCAGCCAACTACAGGTCCACCGCAAACATGCCCGCCCGCTACGAAAGCTCCCCCGCGAGCCCGGAACCCCTGGCCCGGCCCCTGACCTTCCCCTTCTCCGGCAAGACGGCCAAGAATCGCCTCCTCAAGAGCGCCATGGCCGAGTCTCTTGCAACCTGGAGCGCCACAGAGCCCTCGAAGAGAGGTATCCCCACGCCCGAGCTCGTCGAAGTCTACCGCCGGTATGTCCTCTCCTCTCTGTCTTCACACATGAAGCACCTAGGTACTAAGCAAAGACTATTAGATGGGGCCAAGGACCAGACAACTTTGGCATCATCTCCACGGGCAACATCACCATCGAGTTCGAGGACGTAAGCACCCTCGGCGACATGATCATCACCCCCGAGTGCGCCCCCGAAGAAGGCGACGCCCGCTTCGAAGGCTTCAAGGCCATCGCCGCCGCGGGCAAGGTCGACGGCAGCCTTATGGTCGGACAGGTCAACCACCCCGGGCGCCAAGTGCAGAAGAAGATCCAGCCGAACCCCGTCTCCGCGTCTGCAGTCCACTTAGGTAAATGTTCTCTCCAGTTCGCTCGATCATTCACTCTTTGATACTAATAGCAAGAATAGTACCTAAAATGGGCATGGAATTCGCAACGCCCCGCGAAGCCACTCAACAAGACATTGCCCGCTTCATCGAAGGCTTCGCCCACGCGGCAGCCTACCTCGAGAAAGCAGGCTTTGACGGCATCCAGCTGCACGCCGCGCACGGGTACCTCCTCGCGCAGTTCCTCTCACGCACGACGAACCGCCGCACCGACGAGTACGGCCCGCAGACGCTCGAGAATCGCACTCGCTTGATTGCCGAGATTGGTAAGGCTGTGAGACGGCGGACGTCGCCGGCCTTTATCCTGTCTGCCAAGATCAACAGTGTCGAGTTCCAGGAGGGCGGGGTGACGACTGATGAGGCGAGGGAGATGAGTTCCCTGCTTTCCGGGTTGGGTTTCGACTTTTTGGAGATTTCGGGGGGCACGTACGAGGCTATGGGGATGAGTTGGGAGAAGGAGAGTACGCGCAAGCGGGAGGGCTTCTTCCTCGAGTTCGCGGATACGGTTGTCAAGGGACTCGGCGAGAACGCGGCGGCGCGCAAGACCAAGGCGTACATTGTCGGCGGGATGAGGACCGTAGGCGCGATGGTGAAGGCGCTCGAGGTTGTTGACGGGGTCGGGCTGGGACGTCCCGGCGCGCAGGAGTTCCGATTCGGGTCGGAGTTGATCTCGGGGAGGGTGCAGGGCGCCGTGCAGCCTGTTGAGATGATTGAGAAGGATATCGGGGTGGGGTTGACAGCGGCGGCGGCGCAGATTCATCAGGTTGCGCGGGGCGAGGAGCCGTTTGATGCGAGTGATGAGGGCGCCGTGGGGAGGTTTACGCATGATATGCAGGCTTGGTTTGGGGATTTGATTGCTGATGGGGACAAGTTGGAGCATTATGGCGCCGTCAAGTATTCTGGCGAGACTGTGCCTTATGGGGAGACCTCCAAGGCATAGTTTTGGTTGATTGATTGTAGACATTGGTCATGCATTGCCTTGGTGTTGCTAGATTTAGACCTGCTTCTAGATTGGAGATTTTAGTTTTGTTTCACTTTGAGTATTGAAATTAGCTTCGATTTTAGATGTTAGAATTCTACGATTGTGCTTGAAATGGCCTTGGTTGAAACTTGTGATCTGATCTCCTCGTTCACCGAGTGTCGTGTAAGTGATCTGGTGTAGTCAACTCGGTGAGGCCCGGTGAGATTCTTTGGTACGTACTGAGAGTCGGTGAGCTCAGAACCAACTTGGACGATCCCACCGCAGTAGTCAAACGCTGAGAAAGCACGCCTGCAGTAGGAGACACGAAAACCAAAGATCCAAAACAGATCGACGATTAATAAATTCGAGTCCGAGAAGCATTCTAGCGCCCAATGAAACGACCAAAAGAAAGCGAGCTGATTGTGGCTTGACGGAACCACTAGGCGCATCCGTCAGCTCTGGATTTGTAATCTTGGCCCAGCGACTTAATCCTTGCGCTACTGCTGCGCACCACCAAAACAGACGCAGACCCCTGCCTCACTCTCTTAATTGGGACGTCGGACCACGACTCATGGTCTCGGATGGCTGAAATATCCAACTTATCCACCTCGATTGTCTGTCATTTCAACTTGATTGACCCAAGACGGTAACACGGTAAACTCACAGACGACTTCACTATGGAGACTTCATCACAACGCCGCAAGGGTAACATATGCTACTCGACCATCCTCAATGAACCCGTGACTAACACGCTCGCAGCCTGCGACTTGTGCTTCCTCAAGAAGATCAAGTGCGACATGCTCAAGCCGGCCTGCTCAAACTGTCTGCTGTATAAGTCTGAGTGCCGCACCACAACAGTCCGCCGCAGAGTAGTACCGACGAAGGAGCGCCAGCAACGGCCGAAAGAAACCACCGCAGGAGAGTACGTTGGTTTGTAATTATCAAATCACAGGACTTCAACTGACGATCTCTTCATAGCCCGAAAAGAGTAGTAGAGTTGGAGAGCCGATTGGCAAAGATAGAAGAACAGCTGCAGCGCGCACTGGATGCGAATATTCGCCTTTCCAGCCAAGTTCCAGCCTCAGCAACGGTACCCGCACCCGCACCCGCACCCGCACCCGCACCCGCACCCGCACCCGCACCAGCCCAATCCGCACCGATTACAGACACCATCGAGTTGCCCCTGGACAGTGCCGGCGACTCAACCGACAGCACCGAGTTCATCAATGCCTTTTCATGCAGCGAGAGTCCGAGCGAGTGGGTGGTCGAGCCGGAGAAGCCAAAGTTGCCGCCGCTGGAGGACGTCACGCCCGTTATCGACGAGTTCTTCAACCGGTACAACTCCATCATGCCGCTCTTTGACCAGCCGACCTTTATGCGCATGCTCTCCGATTGGTATTCGCCGTCCTCGAATCACTCCTCCGCCGCATGGGCAGCCATCAACATCGCCCTGGCGTTGGGGTACCGGTGCACGTTGAAGCAGTCCGGAAACCTGGATGCCCTGGTGGACGATCAGAAGGTGCTACACCATATGCGCAACGTGCAGTCTGTCGTGTCGGACTTGGTGACGCGCGAGGAGGACCTACTAGGCATCCAAGTACTCGTGGGCATGGTCGTTCTCTTTCAGGGTACGAAAGATCCCAAGCCGGCCTCGGTCCTCATCGGGACGGCTATCCGGCTGGCGCACCGGCTGCACCTCCACGACAAGGAGTCTCTCCAGTACTTTTCGCCCGCGGTCGCCCGGCAGAGGTCGCGGGTCTTTTGGCTTGCCTACTGCATGGACAAGGACATTAGTCTACGGTCAAAGACGCCTTCTTTCCAGCTGGACGCGGATATCGACCTGCCCCTGCCGGAGCTGGACCCGGACGACGGGGCGGGCGTCATGGCCGCGTCCAACGGCAGCAAGTTCAACTTCTTCCGGGCGAGGGTCGAGCTCAGCCACATCGCAGGTAAAGTGTATGATCTCCTCTACAGCACGAGATCGCGCAAGGTGGCAAAGTCGGAAGCGCAGCTGCGGGTGACGCGACTGGAAGAGATGCTCGAGACGTGGCGTCGCAACGTGCCGGCCGAGTTCCAGCTCACGTCGCTGCTGGAGTACGCCGAGCCGCTTCCCACGGTGCACCTTTCGCTTCTTTACCACAACTATTTTGTCATCACCGTCATGGTCCACGGCATCTACTCACACGACGCGGATTGGGTGCAGAGAATCAGCTCGTACGGCCGAGCGACGATACAAGACCTGGATGGTATAGGACAAGGAAACAGCAGGCAGAGCTCGCCGCTGCCAGCGGGGTGGGCAAAATGCGTGGAGCTCAGCCGGGACTGCATGAACCTGTTTGTGGAATCGCCAAAGACGGACTGCAGCATCTGGTCCAACGCGTGCGCGCACTTTTCGGGCCTCATCATTATCTTATCCAACATGTTTGTTTTCCCAGAAAACCCGAATATACCGGCGGACAAGGAGCTTGCAGAACATGCGATGCAGCTCTTTGATATGATGCTGCGTCTCTCGGCAAACGAAGACTTTCGCAAGCTGTACGAGGTAGTCAAGGAACTACACCGGCGGGCGATGGCAACAGTGGACAAGTTGGCGCGGAAGAGAGAAGAGCAAGCGGCTGCGGCTGCCGTGGTGGAGGCGATGGACAGCACGCTGCCGTTTGGGATGCAATTCGAAGAGGATGTGAGTTTCTTTGAGGGCGCAGGCATGATGGACTTTACAGGGGCTTTTGCTGGGGGTATCATGGAGGAGTCACCAGTGACTGTGGATTCTGAGGCGGGAGACACGTTGGAAGCCGGGGGTTTCCAAGGAGGTTTGGGTCGTGCTGCCGCGACGGTTGGGCATAGCCATTATTGAGCTGCGATGATACTATATTGGCGTTGGGGGTTTCGATGAGGAGTTGGGTGTCCACCCTATCTAGACTATATTAAGCGGGATGTTTCTGTTGTGGCTGTCTTATGGCTACTGGATGAAGGGGATATGAATATCAGTAGATAAACGTAGATACCATTTTCACGATGGTCTGTTTTCTTGACTTGGTGACGATCAATTCTGTAGAAAACGTCGGTGTTGAGAAGACGGGAGCTTGGGCAATTGGTGTCTTCGGACGGGGGACCGAATGTGGGGCGTTTTGGTGGAATAATTATGGGACCCGTGTGTTAGGTTTGATGCTAATCCTAATCAAGATGGAGATGATCCAAGCTCTGAGCTTTTGGCCAGTGAGATGAGAGGAATTTGCAAGCTGGCAGGGATGACGGGGTGAGGTGGGGCCGCAGTGGGCAATGACGACCAGGAGTGAGCTCAAGCACCTGCCATAGCAGATGAATTGCACTGGAAGAAACCTAAGCCTAAGGTAGAGAGAAGGAATGGCACAAGTAACAGCATCGTCTTGGGGAGGGTGGTTGCCGCCGCTAATCCCGGGAGATCCTTCCCTGTGGAGGAACGAGCTCACTGTCATGGCGTCATCATTGAATCGTCCAATTTTGGGGAGGAAGTTGCGCGCTTCTCTGTGCCCGTACTTGCACGTCTACCTACAGTCTAAGGTACCTCACATTCGTGCGTCTTTCTAACCATCCCGTGTTTATCTACAGCCATTGAGAGCTTCCCTCAGAGCACAGCGCATGAATGATGATGCTCTAAATCCTCACCACTCACTCGCCCGTCGTTACACACACAAAAATACTGCCCGCCGTACCGCCTTCTTGGACCCCTCCATAAACACAACCCCGGTCAAAGACGAGTCAACTTCACCTTGCATAGTATTGTCACCAATCTGAAGAGGCGAATCTCCATCAACTTTCTCCATCTCTCAGCAGACCGCCTAGCATCCACGTCTTGCCTCATCCCACCTTACCCCAGTTACAGCATACTGACCGCAACGTCTCTGTCTACTTGTCATCCCCGGAAGCTTTTACCTTCCAGTAGCCATCTACCTAGTATTCCTCTGTAAGGATAGCTCCCCCGCTACATCTGGGAATACCTAGGCAGTCTTGGCCTCGTGTGCTTTGTTATCTGACCCCCTCCCTCCGCCCCGGTGCTTTACATCAGCAGCTGTCAGTCGGAGTCGGAGTACCCCTCGACGGTGACCGTAACATCTTCCCCTCTCTTTCGCCTACCCTTCTACCTCTTGCCCCCCTCCCCCTCCATCCTTCATGCAAACCACCAAATTCCTCCTCCCTCTCCGCCACCACGTAAGAGTATCTTCTCTACTCCGACAAACGACACAAAAGAACCCGTTTTCGTATAGCGCACGAGCCATGGCCGACTACAAGCTCAAGTCTGTCACCTCGCTGTCTCTCAAGCCGGGAGACAAGCAGGAGGTTGAAGTCGAGGGAATCGAGGGCGCAAAGGTCCTCCTCCTCAACGCCGGCGGCAGCATCCAGGCTGTTGGTCCCAAATGCACCCATTTTGGTGCACCACTCGTAAAGGGAGTCTTGACCACCTCTGGTCGCTTGACATGTCCTTGGCACGGAGGTATGTACCCTCTCCCACGTTGGCTTCATTGCACTTTACTGACACAAATGCAGCCTGCTTCAATGCCAAAACTGGTGACGTCGAAGATGCCCCTGCTCTCGATGCCCTTCCCGTCTTCAAGGTCACCGAGCGCGACGGCGCAGTTTACATTTCGGGCGAAGAGGCCGCTATCAAGGGCGGTCGCCGCAAGCCCAACTTTAAGTGCAATGCCGCTGGTGGTGCCGACCAAGAAAAGGTGGTCATTGTTGGTGGAGGTTCTGGTGCTCTCGGAGCTGTGGAGGGTCTGCGTAATGGCGGCTATGACGGTCCTCTGACCATCATCTCCTCTGAAGGCTACTTCCCCATTGATCGCACAAAGCTGTCCAAGGCTCTCCTGACCGACGTCAACGCCCTGCAATGGCGCGATGAGGCATGGTATAAGAGTGGCTCTGTCGACTGGGTCGCCGACGAGGTCACCGACGTCGACTTCTCTGACCGCAAGGTCACCACCAAGAAGGGAGACAGCGTCCCCTATACCAAGCTGATCCTGGCCACCGGCGGTACGCCCAGAAACCTGCCTCTCCAGGGATTCAAGGTACTGGGCAACATCTTTACCCTCAGAACCGCCCACGACACGCAAAAGATCGTTAAGGCCATTGGCGACAAGGGCAAGAAGATTGTCATTGTCGGATCCTCCTTCATTGGTATGGAGGTTGCCAACGCCACCGCCAAGGAGAACACAGTCACCGTCATCGGTATGGAAAAGGTCCCTCTGGAGAGAGTGCTGGGCGAGAAGATCGGCGCGGGCATCCAGAAGAGCCTGGAAAAGAATGGCGTCAAGTTCCACATGAACGCTGGCGTTGACAAGGCAGAGCCATCAGCCACGGACGATGCCAACGTCGGCGCGGTATACCTCAAGGATGGCACCAAACTCGAGGCTGATCTAGTCATTCTCGGTGTTGGTGTCGCCCCCGCCACTGAATTCCTAAGGGAGAACAAGGTCATCAGATTGGAGGACGACGGCTCGATCAAGACCAACGAGAACTTTGAGATTGTTGGCCTCAAGGACGTGTACGCTATTGGAGATATTGCGACATACCCCTACCACGGTCCTGGGGGCGACGGCCGGTACACTCGCATTGAGCACTGGAATGTCGCCCAGAACGCTGGTCGCTCCGTTGCAAACAACATCATCAACTCAGCCGTCAAGACGCCGCACTTCATCCCCGTCTTTTGGTCCGCACTGGGCTCACAGCTGAGATACTGCGGTAACACCGTCGGCGGATGGGACGATGTTGTGATTCAAGGCAATGTGGAAGAGTCGGCGTTTGTTGCGTACTACACAAATGGCGAGACGGTTGTCGCCATGGCCTCCATGGGCAAGGACCCTGCCATGGTCCAGTCGGCTGAGTTGATGTCGCTCGGAAAGATGCCTTCGAAATCGGAGCTGGCCAAGGGTCTCGATATTACCACTATCGGTCCGTTGGAGGCATGATTTTGTAAACAGGACAATTGTGCATACTCGGGTGTACACGGGAGGGATGTAGGACGTAATCTTCGGCGTAATCAGGTAGGCTTCAAGGCATGCAATGGGCAAACAATTCATTCAATTCAATCAAGTAGGGGTGTCTGTGATGTTTCCACAGCAAAGACAGATGCCGTGACTGCGGAATATGAAAGTCCGTCGAGTAAGCCAGCGGGACATTTACTAGTGGACTTGTGTGGACGGTGAGAGCTAGTGAGGGACACTCGGGACCGAGCGCTGCGTTCGTACCCGAGATGACCGGTGTGGGGCGGTGGCTGCGTTTCCGGCCACGCCAGGACCACCGGAGCCGGGCAAGTGCGGAGCTTGCAAACCACCGCCGTCAACGCCGTCACAATGGTAGATTTTGAATTGCCAAATGTATAAAGACCTCATCATGTATCTCGTACTAGAGTTTGGATGGACGTGCGAATCACACTACACTTTTTATCCAATCTTACCTTTAGTCTCGAGACTTATTTTTTTCTTATTGACTATATTGACTTACACGTCTCATCACATCAACCAACACCAAAACAGCACACAATGACAACGCAAAACCAAGCACCCGTGATAATCATAGGCGGCAGCCTAGTAGGCCTCGCCAGCGCGCTATTCCTCTCCGCCCGCGACGTCCCCGTCATCCTCTTCGAGCGCCACACCTCGAGCTCCCCGCACCCGCGCGCCATCGGATACACCTCGCGCACGCTGGAAATCTTGCAGACTGTCGGCATCTCCCCCGATCAGCTAAGAGTCGGATCCGGTCCGCCGGGGGGTAAACCTCGTCGAGTGAAAGTCAAGAGCCTGGCGGGGGAGTGGGCTGATGAGCAGCTCTGGAATAATAATAACGCCAATAAGGAGAATGGTGCTGGTCCGAAGGGTGAGACCAAAAAGCCTGGATCTGGCCCCGGTGGACCCCCACCGCAGCAGAAAGGCGGCAAAGTCTACGCTCCCATCATGGGCACGGCGATCGCCCAGGACAGACTGGAGCCCATCCTCCGCAAACGCGCCGTCGAGCTAGGCGCGGATCTCAGGCTCGGGTGGAAGATGACGTCCTGGAGCCAGTCTGCGGACGGCGTACACATCACCGCCATCAACAGAGAATCAGGGGAGGAAGTAACCGTTGACGGATCGTACATTGTCGCCTGCGACGGCGCGCGGAGCGTCTTCCGCGAGGGACTGGGCATCGGGATGACGGGGGTGGGACACTTGAGAAGTCTATGCAGCGTCATGTTCCGGTGTGCGCCGATTGAGAAGTTTTTGGAGCGGGGTTTCGTGCAGTTCTCGATTGAGGGGCGCGAGGACGGGTTTGAGGCGTTTTTGGTGAGTTATCACGACGGGAGGTGGGCGTTGATGTGGAATGCCGCCGAGGAGTCTGTCACCGACAAGGAGGCCGACGGCAAGGACACGATCAACGTCAGCAACAGCAACAAGATGGACGCCCGCGCGCAAAAAGATCTCATCCGCAAAGCCCTCGGTCTCGGCGAGGACGAGATCCAGGACGGGGATATTGAGCTCGTGACGATTGGGTTCTGGGAGATGAGCGCGCGGATCGCGGAGAAGTTTGCAGAGGGACGGGTGTTCCTCGCGGGCGACGCGGCGCATACGTTGCCGCCTAACCGGGGCGGGTACGGCGCCAACACGGGGTTCGCGGACGCGCACAATCTGGCGTGGAAAATCGCTGCTGTGAGGGCTGGGGTGGCGGACGAGGGGATTCTGGGGACGTATGATGAGGAGAGGAGGCCTGTTGCGCTTGTGAGGCATGATCAGCTCTTTGCGAGGGATGATTACAAGGCGTATATTCGGGGTGATGAAGGGGACAAGAAGAAGGTCGAGGTGATTGATGATATTGCTATGGAGTTGGGGCAAATTTATCGATCTGGAGGAATGGATTTGGGGACGGATGAGGTCTTGCCTGATGCGTTGAGGCCTGATGAGTGGAAAGGTCAGCCTGGTACGAGGGCGCCTCATCTGGTGGTAAAGAAGAGGGATGGGAAAGAGGTTTCGAGCTTGGAGTTGCTTGGGCGCGGGTGGGTTTTGCTTTCGAGGGGTGACGGGTGGAAGACTGCTGCTGTTGGTGCTGGATGTGAGTTTGTTCATGTTGGAGAGGATGTTGTCGAGGTTGATCAGAAGGGGGAGGGCTTTGAGGAAACGTTTGGGGTTGGGAGGGAGGGAGCTGTGTTGGTGAGGCCTGATGGGTTTATTGCTTGGAGGGTTAGCGGAAGGGAGGATGGTGGTGACGAGGCGTTTGCTAAGGCTTTCAAGCGGGTTTCTTTTGCGTTGTAGTCAAATTTGGCGGCTTTGACTGCGGTTTTGGAAGGGAATTATTAACGGTAATATTATTACTATGTTCTTATGTGAAAGAAATCTAATAAACTCCTCTCAAAGGGACACTTTTGCAATGGCCTCTATTCTTACAACTTGAGTATCGTGACAATGATACACGTGCAGACGCCTCGCCTTGAAGAGGCTGACTAGGTATAGTGGCATGCCCCCAGCCTATCACGTCTATTAGAAAAAGCTTGACACGGCTCAGAGGGAAAGTAGATGAATTATGACCACTTTGAAGTCCAGCCTAGAGTTCAAACCAGTCATCCCACCAGAACTATATTCCTCCATCTTCACTTCCTCAGACGGATGACAGTTGTCGATACGGCGCAATACGTGAGAGACAGGACAGGGCGCGCTGGGTAGATGGGCAGATGTCTCCCCCGGAGATCAGCAGGATCATCAAAAGAGTCCATATTTTAAGATCATGAGAGTAACAAGTGATGAGACATGATTGTTGATGTTGAGTCTCAACTTCTGCCAAAGTCTGACCGTGAATTGGCAGTTCAATGTCGTCTGATATGAGGTCGGTGATTGAGACATGGCAGTATGCTCCTTTGAGTGACCACAGCAAGCAGCAAGCAGGGGCTCAAGAGCTGAGAGGTTTGAGGGCAGCAAATCCGAACCATGTCATAGTTTCTGTGATGGACTTGATGAACAGAAACATCTGATGGTTCTTACCCAAAAAGAGCAGTCCGCCTGGAACCTTTCAGACTGGTCGGAAGACCAAATCCAGCTAGTACGGTGCGGGGAGACTGAATGAGGGGATGGCCAACATGGCGGCGGCGCACAGAAGCGGAGAGGATGCAGTTGCTCGGGTGCATCATGGGCAACGCCATGCCTCACCGGTTCGGCGGTTTTGGGTTAGCGAACGATACGTGTCCGGAGCTTACACACAGCCATATAAGAAGGCCGACATGCAGCTTGCTGCTCCAAGTTGTACTTGAACTACCTTGGCTGTATCCTCCAGCTTCACGTATGAATCTGTCGCTACATCACTACTAATCTATCGCTGCGATAATTGAAACCCCTCTCGCCATGTCTCCCAAGATCCTGCAAGTCGGCGTGGTTGGTGGTGGCGACGTTGCACAAATCGTTCACCTCCCAACCTTCATGTTCTTGTCCAGTCTCTTCAAGGTCGTCACCATTTGCGACATTTCGCGCAAGACGGCCGATCATTGTCGTGTCAAATTCAACATCCCCCACGCAACCACAAACCCAGACGACATCTTCAATGACCCAGCCATTGATGTCGTCGTAATCCTGACATCTGACGAGTATCACGCCCCCTATACCATTGCTGCGTTGAAGGCCGGGAAGAACGTCTTGCTCGAGAAACCCATAACACTTAGTCTACAAGCCGCCGACGAGATAATCGATACCGAGACCAAGGCCCCCAATAATGCCCGCGTCTTTGTGGGCTACATGCGGCGTTACGCCCCCAGCCTCCAAGCCTTCAAACGCGAGATTGCCTCCATTGACAAGATCAAGTACGCTCGTGTCCGCGACATCATCGGTCCCAACGCCTATTTCATCAGGCAATCGGGAGCATATTCACAAAAGTACCATGATGACATACCGACCGAGGTGTCGGAGGACAGAAAGGCGCGACTGGCCGTCTTACTAGGCCAAGCCTGGGGACAAGAGCCGGAATCGCTCACAGCCGCGCAGATGGACTACTGCTGTCTCCTCGGCAGTCTCGGAAGTCACGGTCTCAGCCTCATGAGGAATGTGTTAGGCGGTCTCCCGGAATCAGTTCTCGCTTCAACGGACAACGCGCGCTGGTACACGGCCATGTTAGAATACCGAAACGGCACCGCCCCCGACGACAGGTTCACGTGTGTCTACGAGATGGGTATTGATTCTGTGCCGAGATTCGACTCTCACGTTGCCGTCTATGGGGAGAAGAAGTCCGTCACGATTTGCTATGATACGCCATTCGTCAAGGGCCTCGGCATCACGGTGGAGATTGACGAGCTGAACGAGCACGGGGAAAAGTCCCACAGGTCTCTTACAAGTTCGTACGAGGATGCTTACACTGCTGAGTTGAAAGAGTGGTACGAGACTGTGGTTCATGGCAAAGAAATCAAGACGTCTGCCAAGGACGCGCGAGATGATTTGAAACTGTTCAAGATGATGATGGATAAGTTCCCCGAGCACAAGAAGATGAAGAACTCGTCCGATAGCGCGCCCTTCGTACCGAGCGGTCCTTGAATGCCATGCCATACTAAGTGTCGCTGTATTGCACATCTTATCAGGTTGAATCTAGTACTTTGCCATGGTCTTGAAGCGCCAGAGACATCGTGTCCTTGGAAGTTCTGAATGCAACCCGAGTGTTACGTTCTTAAGTGTCCGAGTGTATAGATGTGTTGTATGCGTTGAACGGCTGGGTCTCCCATGCGTCCAAGATGAGGTAGATTAATATTGTTGTTGTGCCTTCGAAAATACCGCTCCATCCAGTTTAGATAGTATTGCAAAACATTTCGCATGTTTGCCATCTCTGAATCAAACTGGAATTATCTCTTCCTCCCGTTGGAACAAGGCAGCTGCGCTTGCCACCTACACCGACTCAGGTCGCTGACTGAGAGGAGGCAGCATGTTCCTTCGTGCCTTGATGTTGGCGCATCTGCATCAGAAATGAACTCTGTTTGCGATCCGTACTTGCTTTAGCATACACAGGCTACGCGTTTCAAGGCGCTACTGTGATGAGTTGGGCGTAGAAGCTGTTAATAAACAATCACGACTGTTTAGTTGTTCTTGAATCTTGAGTGGGAAAATGGGGGATAGCTACAGACTCGGCTGAAGATTAGCTCAAGAAGCCGAACCTTTCTCATTCAAACAGCGATCATCCCCTATTAGCTGTGAAGAGTTTGTTTGAAGTATACTCCTCCCACTTTGTTTCGATTTGATAGTGATCTGCTCGTACAGGATTAGGCAAACGTACTTTGTATTGGGGTCGATTCCAAACAAGGGTGGCATTAATCTTTGAAGATCTGCCGTGCAAATCTTGGCAAGGTTTCCCGTCATTGAATGATGCAACGGCCTGACGGTCCCCGACATGGCTCCTCGAATAGATGTCAAGACGTGTCTTCCACGAGACGGGGCTTGGGTACGAGGCTGCAGCAAGCCTGCTCGTCCCAAGCCTCACTAGGCATGTTCACGGACATGGCGTCCCGTCAGTGCCAAGGTCTGCCGTCGACACTTGGACCTGAATGTCCGTTCGACCTGGCACGTCACCCTAGTCTGCTTTTTGGTCTGTTGGTATTGAATGCCCTTGTTACTTGGTTTACCGACGACAATTTTGTACATGCGAGAGCAAGAGGCCTATACCCAAATGTTGTGAAAAGTCAATGAAGTCAATTATTGCCACCACCGTTGTGTTGCCAGTCACTCACAGCCCGAAACCACAGGAACGAAAACACCAAATTTTGTTGGAGCTCATGAACTCATTGAACGACTATGGCTAACGTTAAAGGAAACAGGAGGTAATATCCGTTGTCTAAGATCGTACAGTCTACAGGGGTAGTAGGTATCTACAACTTGGAAATGATGGCGCCGGCAAACTCGTTAGTCTTGGCCTTGCCGCCCAAGTCGCCGGTGAGGGCCTTTCCTTCCGCGAGGGTATCAAAAGCGGCCTTCTCGATTCTGTCGGCGTACTCGCCGAGGCTCATGTGTCTCAGCATCATCATGGAGCTGAGGAGCAGAGCGGTGGGGTTGGCCAGGCCCTTGCCGGCAATGTCGGGGGCGGAGCCGTGGACGGCCTCGAAGATGGAGCACTCGTCACCAATGTTGCCGGAGGGGGTGAGACCGAGACCGCCAATGAGACCGGCGCACATGTCTGAGAGAATGTCACCGTACAGGTTGGGCATGACAAGGACCTTGTCGTTGTAGGGGAGGGGGTCGGTGACCATCTTCAGGCAGGTGTTGTCGAGGAGCTCGGCGTCGAACTCGATCTCGGGGAAGTCCTTGGCGACGTCGCGGGCGGTCTTGAGGAAGAGACCGTCGGACATCTTCATAATGGTGGCCTTGTGGACGACGCGGACCTTCTTGCGGCCAATCTCCTGGGCCTGCTGGAAGGCGAAGCGGAGGACGCGCTCGGAAGCCTCGCGGGTGATGAGCTTGATGGACTGGACGACACCATCGACGACGACGTGCTCAATGCCAGAGTATTCACCCTCGGTGTTCTCACGAATGAGGACGGTGTCGACGTTGTCGTAGGGGGTCTTGTAGCCGGCGACGGATCGGCAGGGACGGAGGTTGGCGAACAGGTTGAAGGTGCGGCGGAGAGTCAGGTTGAGGGAGACGTGGCCCTTGCCAATGGGGGTCTGAATGTTCTGGTTAGAATGGGAAGAGAGAGGCTCATGGTCAGTCAAGACATACGGCGAGGGGTCCCTTGAGGGCGACCTTGTTGCGCTTGATGCTCTCAATGGCGGCATCGGGGATGGCGGTCTTGCCGTCCTTGAGGATGGGGGTGACATCGACGGGCTCCCAGGTAACGGGGGCCTTGGCCGCGGCAAAGATGTCCTTGACGGCCTGGGAGATCTCGGGACCGATACCATCACCCTCGATCAGAGAGACGGGGTAGTTGCCCTATACAAGATTGGTGATTAGTTTTGTTTTGAAGGCATCTCGAGATCGCATGTTTGAGCAACGCCAATTGAGTGATTTTGGGCTGCGCAAAGGGCCGATCCGGGGCATTGTTGTTACTCGAGTACCCGCCCATCTGCACATGACGAGTGACATGTGCGTTCAAAAGCAGAGAATGAAGTGTCATTGTCGAGGTCGGGTGCGCCAGCAAACAACAAAGCCGAGGTCTTTCCTTTGCGCGTAAAATTTTATGGGGCGGGTAGTAACGGAGGAGGGAAATGGCATACGTTGGAGTCCTTGACACCGTGGAACTTGGCGACACGCTCGCTCGAGTAGAATCTGGAGTTCTATGCAGCTGTTAGCAATTGGTT